CCCAATTCATGTCGGAAGTGAACGAGGACTGGCCATTTTATTCGGCATGGGATCGGCAGGTGTTGCGACGAACGCTCGCATCGAAGATGCTGCAGTCCCGCCAGAACGTCTGCTCAGAGGGTAATGGTGATGTAGCAGAGAAGCTAGTGCCTCCCGAAGCGTCCCTAGTCGACCCCCTGGATAACATTCTGTCCGACCGGCGATTGTCCCGTAAGTGCATGAAACGCAGTTCAGCGAATTTGACCGCTGACACGACTTCGCCCAAGCAGTTGGCGCTAGACGGAGGTAAAACAACATCGACAAACGATGAACAGAAGTCGGACAGTGGGTCAGCCGGGTTGGATAAGGAATCCTCTGCCGACATAGTCAAAAGGGTGCATACGGGCGGTGCTGGGGGCCTCGTTGCCCAAAATGTTCGCAAGCATCCAAAGGAGGCCAATAAGCAGGAGAATTGGACGATGATGATGGAAACTGAGGAAGATGATCACCGAACAACGGTCACGTTGAAGGATGCATCGTCCGATGAACGGCGGTCAGACATGACCAACGATTGGCTGGCGACGTTTCCGGAAATTAAGACGCTGGATGAACGCAAACAGTACAAGGATATATTCGACTGCGATTACCCGGTGTACATGAAGACTTATGAAAAACTGCGCAGCATTGCGGCCGAGTTCGAGATGCTCGGCAAGAAGCTGAACGGCTTCAGGAAAGGCTCGGACGAGTACAAAGGCATCGAACGTGACATTTGCATCAAGTACAAGAAATTCTATGAAGACGGTGCCTGTAACACGTTGCGACAACGACATGAGCGTCTGCGTTCCAAGTTGGCGGCCATCAAGCACCGTGTCAGCGAATTCGATACCCGACGACAGTGTTCGAACTCAACGCCGTCAGCCTCTTGTTTCTCATCATCGATCGAGAACACGTAGCAGTCGGCTCTGTGGCATCAGACACCGTTGTCCATCCGTCTGTAGCTGTCGATTTTGGAAACGAGGTGGAGGAGGAAGGTGAGGAACGAGGAAAGGATCCTTTGTAATGACGCTCAGTCGCATTAAACTGTGCAGTGCACCCTGACAACTACGGTATGGAAGAATAAAACTGTTTGCGTGTTGTTCCGTGCGTGTGTCGACGACAAGCGTTCTGAACGAGCTCCACTGGTATAGGCGACGGTTCCATCGGTTCGGTGACCGGGCCTGCTCCTGCCGCTGCTGCCGTCGCCGGTGCTCTGTCGCGCGGCCAGTGGCCGATAAGCGATCGCAGGTGTTTGTCGCTCCAAATCGACCAATTAGGTCTCCTGATCACCACTTCGATCTTCACTATTAAATCACTACTGTTACTTCGCCACTGCTGTTGCACACTATATCAGTGACGTTTCATAGCATGCTGAACGATTTTGATTAAATATTGCTTTTGTTGTTGTTCGACAATTAAAATTTTGCAGTTTTCATTTTTTGCGTGTCCGCTCTTTTGGTCCCTTTGGTCAAATGTGACACTGTTCGCTGATTGAGTGATTGAATGATTGACGGATTGATTTTGAAAAATTGTACCGGCGACTTTCACCCGGAAGACCGGTCCGGTCACACTGGTTGTGTTCT